TTTTGAAGCCAGTTGCCATAGATGTTTTAGTTGAAATTCTTGCATTGCAAAGGGTTGGACTAGATCACCCTCGGAATCCCTTCCAACTCTACGATTCTATGATTCCACAATTTGTAGTTTGGTGCAGTGATGTAGCGTGGGGGGAGGGAAACGGACAGAGTTCATATGTGCATTTAACTGCCTAACAGTGTCCGCGTCACCCAGAAGATCACAGCGACAATGATAAGAAAAGAAGAGTCGTTTCGTTGTCTGGAGAGGTCACTTCCTGGTTTGCATGGAGGAACCGTTTTCAACGGAGCCCAACGATGGAAGCGCGTAGCTATATTGAGAGAGCACTGGGTGTTGAAATTTTGCACCCCGATGGGGTGAGCTCCCGTTACTCAGTCCCTGCTTCTGCCAACCCAGCAGTTCAAAAGCACGTCAAAGTGCAAGTAGATAAATAGGTACCACTCCGGCGGGAAGGTAAACGGCATTTCCGTGCGCTGCTCTGGTTCGCCAGAAGTGGCTTAGTCATGTTGGCCACATGACCCGGAAGCTGTACGCCGGCTCCCTCGGCCAATAAAGCGAGATGAGCGCTGCAACCCCAGAGTCGGTCACGACTGGACCTAATGGTCAGGGGTCCTTTAACAACTTGGCACCCGGGGCAACTGCCCTGTGGCGCCTGCACGCTGCGCCATTGGGGTTATAGGTTCTGCCCCTCTGATTTCTGGACTGAAATATTCACATTGCTATTCTTCCAGCCCCCAGTGCTCTGTGCAAAGCAACCTTTCCCATAGCTGATTCAATCTCTCCCTCGTGGATTGCATAGGATATAGCTGGTGAGTCACATATTCCTCAGGAGGAGACGGGACTCTCTTTGCTTCCTCTCTGTATTTAAACACCATTCTTTCAGCGACCTGATGAAACCCTTACCCAAAGGAGAGTGCCACTACAGGCAGGGACACTGGGCAGCCTTTGATTTGGTGCCAGGTAGAGAATTATTCCAGCCAGTGGGGGAGAGCAGGGAGATCATGATTCCCGGCCTATTTTGGGGAGAACAAATCAACAGCACAACAGGTGGTGAGCCTTACAGCTGCTGCCTGGGGGATATTACTTACTGTTCAAGGGCATCAGAGTTTCCACATGGGCTCACCGTCCTGTGATCCCACCCACCTCTTGGCACTGAGCGACTGTCCCATCGTAAAGCCACTCCCCGCACCCAGCTCTCTGTGAGCCTCAATTCCTATGGAAAGAGCGTGCCTGGCAAAAGATTCGGCTAGGTAGCTGGTCAAGCTGTGCAAGAGATGCTTCTCTCTTTCATGTCCATCTTGAAGGAGGTACTCTGTGCTGAAATGTTATTCATGCCTCAGCAAGGATCCTTCCATTTGGAGAAAAGTGTGTGTGTGTTGGCAACCTCCAGATGACCAGTTTATCAAGCATTCATTCTTATTTGCTCACACCGTGATTAATACATCATTTGGATTATATCCAGGGAGCCTCCACATTGTCGCTGTTTTCGGGTGGGTTATAATCACATTCTGGCAAACTCGGGGTGTGCAATTCTAGCTGATAAGGAGGTCTTGCACAACAAAACATTGCAAAACATTGGGGATTTTCCCCCCCACTAAGGAAAGTGATGGGAAGTGGGAGGTCACATTTGTTTTGACGCAGCAGCATCTGACATCCCCTCAAACAAAGCAGAATGAATGCTCATTAAATAGCCAATGGTCATCAAGGTAAAAGGTAAAGGGACCCCTGACCGTTAAGTCCAGTCGTGGCTGACTCTGGGGTTGCGGTGCTCATCTCGCTTTATTGGCCAAGGGAGCCGGCGTACAGCTTCTGGGTCATGTGGCCAGCATGACTAAGCCGCTTCTGGCAAAGCAGAGCAGTGCACGGAAACGCTGTTTACCTTCCCACTGGAGTGGTACCTATTTATCTACTTGCACTTTGACGTGCTTTCGAACTGCTAGGTTGGCAGGAGCAGGGACCAAGCAACGGGAGCTCACCCTGTCGCGGGGATTCAAACCGCCGACCTTCTGATCTGCAGGCCCTAGGCTCTGTGGTTTAATCCACAGCACCACCCACGTTCCAATGGTATCAAATCTCCCTTCAAATAGGGGCAATGCTCCATAATCAATGTGCCTGAGAAGACCCAAAGTCTTTGTTGAGCATTCATTCTGATTTGCTTATGGGGTGGTTATATGACAATAAGCACCCACTCGTTTGCTTGTAGGGTGTCTTCTTGTCTTCTGTCTCACTATTTGTTCACCTCATCACTTTAAAAATGGCAAGACGTCGGTTTAAAAGAAAAAGGTGAATTTGTTGTGCAGTGCTTAGGGTGACCGAGCCACTTTCATAGAATCATAGTGTTATGTACTAAGCTTGGATCCTAGAACAATAGGCAAGTAGGATCCTAGAATGCAACAACTGATTGGCTTGCAGGAGAAGACCAATCAGGCTCCAGGAGGAAGTTAATCAGCCTATTAGGCTGGAAGGATCGTAGAATGCAACAACTGATTATCCTGCAGAAGAAGACCAATCAGGCTGCAGGAGGGAAGCAGAATCAGTCAATCAGACGGGACTCATTGTGTAAATAATGTATATTAAAGCCTGAGGGTTTTTTTTGGGGGGGGGATTCAATTACTGTTTTACAAGCTGCAATAAAGAGCATGAAATCACAATAGGATTCCGAGTATATTTCACACAGAGTCAGAAGGGACCCCGAGAATCATCTAGTCCAACCCCTTCCAATTGCACAAACAATATTGACAGGCAGCACAACCTGGGAGAGATTGAAGAGCACGGGTGCAAACTGATTCCTGAAATTAAGAGAAAATCCAGGGACTGTGGGCAAGAGGGTCAGGAGGTAAGCAGAACTCTAATCTCCCGGCTGCCTGTTCAGATCCAAGCTCAGCTGCTTGCTCCTATCATTTACCTTACCTGAGACATGCCCATGAGGCTCCTCTAAGAGGAGCAGGGAATGTTACCGTGGCAACCAGATGCCTTCAAACCACAGTCTCTGGGTGGGGTTCTAGCATCTGAGAGGGGATTCCTTGCATTGGCACAACTCCCTGTGGTCTAATTACTTGCTTAGAGTCTTGATCGCGAACCAGTTCTATTGGAGGAGCAGAGGGGCAAGGATGTAATTTAATAGCCTTTTTGGATGGTAGTGTGTATTACTTCACTGGCTTCAAAATGCATCCCTGTTGTGTGGCTCATTCTGCCAAGGGGGTCCCTTTGCCTTCTGACCACAGCTATTGCAGCTGCTTTTGAGAAGATACAAGGCAGGAGGGTGTTCAGGTCAAGGAGAGCAGTTCTCATCGGCTCCTGACAAAACCGTCAACCCCGGAGAAAATTGCTAGGGCAGCCTCTCCTGCACCTTCCCTGGGGCTGTGCAAGAAAGGCCTATGTGCCCCACTGACATCAGCTGATGGGCAGGTGGGCGTGGTTTGGGGGAAAGGGTCTCCTAGGGGCGAGAGGCTCCCCACGCCTGGCCTGGAGTCCCAACAACACACGTGTCAATTTCAGTTCTGACGTCACTCATTGGCTAAAAAAGCTGAAATGTGGGAGGAGGCATCTTGCCATTTCTAGTGCCTTGGCCCTCCAGTTGTTTTTGGCCTACAACTCCCATGATCCTTAGCTAGCAGGACCAGTGGTCAGGGATGGTGGGAATTGTAGTCTCAAAACATCTGGAGGGCCGAGGTTGAGGAAGCCCGCTTTAAGACATCTGTTGAAGACCTTAACTTTTCAACATCTTTTAAGTGGATATTTTTATTCCAGTTTGTGGACACTTCCAAACTCTTTTTGGGTGGGATTCAGTCATGTACAGTGGTACCTCAGGTTACAGACACTTCAGGTTACAGACGCTTCAAGTTACAGACTAACCCAGAAATAGTACCTCAGGTTAAGAACTTTGCTTCAGGATGAGAACAGAAATTGTGTGGTGGCGGCGTGGTGGCGGCGCGGCAGCAGCGGGAGGCCCCATTAGCTAAAGTGGTACCTCAGGTTAAGAACAGTTTCAGGTTAAGAACGGTCCTCCAGAATGAATTAAGTTCTTAACCTGAGGTACCACTGTACCAGCAAATTTAGGTTGTGCAATTATAAACCGATTGGGGAGTCTTGCAAAGCAAACCCGCTTCCTGAATAGATCAGACTTTTTGCAGCAAGGAAAGTAAAAGTAAAATGCATGGGAATAATAAATAAATAAATAAATAAATAAATAAATTTGTTAGTCATCTTATCTTGCCCAAGGCAAGCTCAAGTGACTTACAACCAGCCAAGCAAACAAACAAACAGATGAACAAACACACTGGAAAGTGTGAGTTAATACTTTATTTGATGCAATGTCACCTAAGCTTCCCACAAGCGAATCAGAATAAATGCTCATTAAATAGCCAACATTGTCTAGTCTCCCTCCAAACAAATGATTCTCAACAAACAGGTCATCCAGAAATGCCCTATATCTGTATTGGATTTGAAATGGTTTATATATATGTTTTATTGTTAATTGCTTTGGGATGTTTCATGGGAAATGATTCATAAATGAAACAAAATATTGTCAAGCCTTCCACCTGCGTTTGGCTAAAACCATTCTCACCTGTTCTCCATTTCAAAAAGCTGCATGGGCCAAGAATTATAAACTGGCAACAACAATAACTACGTAATGCCAAGATGAAAGTATGGTGTTGAGGCATGAGAGGAGCAACGGAGGTATTAGAAAGTCCTTACAAGAAGATAAATTTGTACAGTGGTACCTCGGGTTAAGAACTTAATTCATTCTGGATGTCTGTTCTTAACCTGAAACTGTTCTTAACCTGAAGCAACACTTTAGCTAATGGGGCCTCCTGTTGCTGCGGCGCCATTTCTGTTCTCATCCTGAAGCAAAGTTCTGAACCCAAGGTACTATTTCTGGGTTAGCAGAGTCTGTAACCTGAAGCATCCGTAACCTGAAGCATCTGTAACCTGAGGTACCACTGTACCTGGTGACCCACTTGGCAGCTCTGAAAAGTGTATGCTTTCAAGCACTGGATAGCTCAGTTGGTTAGAGCATGGCGCTGATAATGTCATGGTTGCAGGTTCAATCCCTGTATGGGACAGCTCCATTGCAGGGGTTGGACCAGATGATTCACAGGGTGCTTCCAACTCTATGATTCTAAGACAAAAAACACACTGATTTCAGGATCATTTGATGCAATCCCTTTGAAACTTTGTATGGAATCATTTTGAAACAAGTCAAAACAACCCTTCCTTCCTTCCTTCCTTCCTTCCTTCTTGTTTAAGCAAAGGAATTTCTACATTATGGTCAAACTGAACTAGGTATACATGCTGATTTATACCATATTTTTTGCACCATAACATTCACTTTTTTCCTCCTAAAAAGTAAGGGGAAATGTCTGTGCGTGTTATGGAGGGAATGCCTACGGGTGGCATGCCTACGGATTTTCCTCCTCTAAAAACTACGTGCGTGTTATGGTCGAGTGCGTGTTATACAGCGAAAAATACGGTAATTGTTTATATCAGCATGCAGATCAAATGCAGACCTATGGGATGCTTCAAGCCTCGTTCCACTTTTTCCTCAAGAGTTTTTGCCTGGTTCAAATCTTCCTGTCAGGGCAAGTGGCTGGAACAGGTCAGCAGTAACTCACAGGGTGTTTGGTAAGGTTAACTCTTTATTCAAAGAAACAAAACGACTCAGGCCTATTGAGCACAGGACCTCCTCCTAGATCTTGCCCCAATTAGGCCATTGTGAGGACCAAATTAGATCTTGCCTCAATTAGGCCATTCTCCTCTCCTGGGTCTGCAGCAGACTGTTAATCGAAAACGCTTTCTTGCATAAATTTCTGGGCAGGTGGAAATTTGATAAGAAAAATAAGCTAGCACGTTAAAAAATATAAAGAGATTCTAGAATTCTCTGAGCATCTGCTTTTGTTCTTAAGTTGTCCTTAATATCTGAAGCTGCCAGATGGGTGTGGGTAGCAGGAAGCAGCAAGTTCTGATTATTGCTACTCTATGCTGTGCTAATATTGTTTTCTGTTGTATAAGTCTTAATTTAAGATTCAGTCAATACCTTAGATACAGTGGTACCTCGGTTTACGAACAGCCCTGTTTGCGAACTATTCGGTTTACGAACCCTGCAAAACCGGAAGCAGTGTCCCGGTTTGCGAACTTTACTTTGGTCTAATAACAGAATCCGAACGGTGGAAGGGCACCGGTGGTGAGAGGCCTCATTAGGGAAAGCGCACCTCAGTTTAAGAACGGTTTCAGTTTAAGAACAGACTTCCGGAACGGATTAAGTTTGTAAACCGAGGTACCACTGTACTTGGAATCTATTGGGCTCCTTTACAGTTGTATAAAAAAGGACTAGCTAAGATAACTCTGTGTTGGAGATGTGGCAGGGACATGTGGCTTCCCTGAAACATGTTTGTATAGTGTTCTACACTTAACCAAATTCTGGGAGATAATGCTGGGCTATGCAACTATGACTGCAAAAAAAGTCAAATCTTTCAGAGGAGTGTATTCTTTTGAACTATATACCTATTGTATGGAAATTAACAATGGGGCAACCATAATTGATTCCACGTGCCCTAATGATGGCCAAGAGAAACTGATGAACTGGAAGAATTAAACATATGATCCCCTTTAATCAATGGGCCGACAAGATGACAACTTATGAACCGAGTGCTTACAGGTGTAGACTTTGTTTGGATAAAGATGACAACGTTTGGAATGAGTTTGTGCCGAATGTAGTAGGCTATTAACATCTACATTTGCATTAGGATAACACTATATCAATTTACAGTGGTACCTCGGGTTAAGAACTTAATTCGTTCTGGAGGTCCGTTCTTAACCTGAAACTGTTCTTAACCTGAGGTACCACTTTAGCTAATGGGACCTCCGGCTGCCACCGCGCCACAATTTCTGTTCTCATCCCAAAGCAAAGCTCTTAACCCGAGGTACTATTTCTGGGTTAGTGGAGTCTGTAACCTGAAGCGTCTGTAACCCGAGGTACCACTGCATTTAAGAGTTTATAGGAGTATATTACACTGCATTTTTGCAGATTGTTTCTCTCTCTCTTCCTTATATACATATTTGTTCACCTCCCATCTTTTTTTCTCTGTATCACATTATTTCTTTATTATTTTTTCAATAAAAATATTAATGAAAAAAAATATCTCTGTGTTATGCTACTGCTTTCCGAAGCCAGATCCCTCTTTGCAGGCTGGGTCCTGGTCCTGGGTTCACCACTGGTGTGATCCAGAACAGCTGTTTAGATGCATCTTGTAGGCTAAACATTCCTGCTGGTGGAACACAGGCATTGCCTAAAGGGAGGGAGACCCTACTGTGTCAGATCTGTTGCTATCAACGGGCTGATGGGAGGTGGGGTGGGGGAGCCCCCACTGAGCTGACAAATGCCAGGCTTATCTCTGCCACCCAAATAGCCCCTTCTTAATCCGCACCACAGGTGGTGCCGAGTGGGGCTTGGCAGGGAACACTGGGCAAGCCACATCAGTGCCAGGCCTTGAACGCTGCCCGTGACATAGGAGGGGCGGGCTTGGAGGAGACACATGGAAGGGTGGTTCCTCAGAACTACTCTGAGAATGCAGTGGCATCCCTACTCAGAAATCATTCTGCCTTAGAAACAGCCTGCAGTCGAGATTGTATGGCCAAATAATAATAGTAATAATAATACAGTGGAACCTTGGTTCTCAAACGCCTTGGTACTTGAACATGCCGGAAACCTGGAACAAAATTAAAAAATTCCTTCCAGTAGCACCTTAGAGACCAACTAAGTTAAGTAGTTATTAAGGGACACGGGTGGCGCTGTGGGTTAAACCATGGAGCCTAGAAGTTGCCGATCAGAAGGTCGGCGGTTCGAATCCCCGCAACGGGGTGAGCTCCCATTGCTCGGTCCCTGCTCCTGCCAACCTAGCAGTTCAAAAGCACGTCAAAGTGCAAGTAGATAAATAGGTACCGCTCCAGCGGGAGGGTAAACGGCGTTTCCGTGCGCTGCTCTGGTTCGGCAGAAGCGGCTTAGTCATGCTGGCCACATGACCCGGAAGCTGTACGCCGGCTCCCTCGGGCAATAAAGCGAGATGAGCGCCGCAACCCCAGAGTTGGTCACGACTGGACCTAATGGTCAGGGGTCCCTTTACTTTTAAGTTAGTTATTGGTATGAGCTTTTGTGTGCATGCACACTTCTTCAGAATGCACACGAAAGCTCCTACCAATAACTAACTTAGTTGGTCTCTAAGGTGCTACTGGAAGGAATTTTTTTATTTTGTTTCGACTACGGCAGACCAACACAGCTACCTACCTGTAACGAAAACCTGAAAGTGTGTGTTCCGGTTTTCCAACGTTTTTTTTGAAGCTGAACATTCAATGTGGTTGTCGGCTGTTGTTTCCAGGGTACCTGCGACAATCAGAGGACGCACCTTGGTTTTCAAATGTTTTGGAAGTTGAACGGACTTCCAGAATGGATTACGTTCGAGAACCAAGGTACCACTGTAGTTTTATTATGTATACTCTGCATATCCGCCACTCTGGGTGGCTTCCAGCACAAATAAAAACAGGATAAAAAAAGTCAAATGTTCATAACCTCCAGATACAGGGCTGCCTTCAGATAACTTCTAAAAGTGAAATAATTGTTTATCTGTTTGACATCTGATGGGAGGGCATTCCATAATAAAGGCGTCACTGCCGAGAATGCCCTCTGCCTGGTTCCCTGTAACCTCACTTCTTGCAGTGACGGAACTGCCAGAAGACCCTCGGAGCTGGACCTCAGTGTCCAGGCAGAACGATGGGGGTGGAGACTCTCCTTCAGGTATACTGGGCCGAGGCCGTTTAGGGCTTTAAAGGTCAGCACCACTTTGAATTGTGCTCGGAAACGTACTGGGAGCCAGTGAAGATCCTTTAGGGCTTGCTTACATGTGAGGTAATTGGGGTGAATATTTACACATGGGTTGCTTCCCAGCTGCACACAGCTGATGGCATTATTATTATTATTTATTAAATTTGTTGGGGTCGTCTTGTGGTGTTTGAAACTGCCCTCTGGCGAGAATGAAAAAGAGGCAGCGCAGAGAGAGAGAGAGAGAGAGAGGGAGAGAGAGAGACTGGTGGATAAGGGCTGTCTTCTGTGACAGCTTGTGGTTGCATCCTGCAATATTTAACCAGGGAATGCAGAAAACTGTCATATCCAAATAGGGCATGAATCTCTCTCTCTCCCTTTCTCTCAAATGTTTCTTTCAAGAGAACTTATCTGTGAGGAGTGAGTTTCCAGGTCACAGATCTCCTGGCCCCATTCTCTTCTTACAGTATACGCAATGTTGTCTCCCATTTTCAGCACTGTTTCTACTTCAGGACAGAAAGCTTGTCACATACCAATGGCTCCCATTAGACAGTGGAACTTTGCATCCCAATTCACAGGATAGATACATGAACAATATGAAATAAATTCCCTCCGTGCTTTTTGATTGCCTGGAGGATATTGACCAAGCTGTGCAGATGATCAAGGGCCCGGAAACCAAGACTTATGAGGGAGCTGGGTATCTTTATCCTGGAAAAGAGGAGACTGAGTGGAGACATGATAGCCATCTTCAAAATATCTCAAGGGCTGCGACATGGAACATGGAGAAAGCTTGTTTTCTCCTGCTCTGGAGGGCAAGACTCAGGAGATTCTGACTCAACAGCAGGAAGAGCTTTCTGACAGTGAAATGGACTCCCTTGCGGGGGTTTTAAAGCAGAGATTGGGAGACCATCTGTCATGGATGTTTGGATGCCGTGGATTGGACAAGATGACTTGTCCCTTCCGATTCTATGATTTTCAAAACCTCTCAAGCAGAATGTGTACAGTGTTACTTCTCAAAGTGATCAAAGTTTGCTGGGTTAAGGATGAAGATATCAACCACCTCAAAGTTGGCAAGTTCTATCATTTTATCAGATTTGTGCAAAATGAGCGAATACCCCTTTTTAAAGTAATGCTATTTATATTTTCATTAAGAGCATCTGCTTAGGCTGAAGACAGTGAGAGATTCCTGCTTGGGGGAGTGAACACACCTGCTATTTTTACTGCTGGTACACTGACTTTGGGGTCATAGCTCAGGGATAGGGGCACATAGGTTTACATACCGTGTTTTTCGCTCTATAGGACGCACTTTGTTTTAGAGGGGGAGAACAAGAAAAAAAATTTCTCTCCCTCTCTGCTCAGCGCCCCTTCTGCGAAGCGGCAAGAGAAACGGAGCCCCAAAAATGAGGTGTTGAAATTGATGAAATAGAGGAGGTTTAACTACATTATTTTAATTTTAAAATATGTAAATGAAAAGAAGGTTAGAAGGATTTGCTGGAAATACGATCTGAACTAGAATACAAAATTGGGAGGTGAGAGGAGGTCATGGAAATAAGTAAAGAGAAAAAGGCTAAGTAAAGGTCTAATCTGTTTTTGTTTTATTTTAACTTAATGTATTTTTATATTTTTTGTTAAGTCTTTTTTATACTCTATTTTATTGCTCTTTTTTATTTGTTCATTCTATGTTTTGTTACGGTTAAAGTTTTCTTTGTATTTTGTATGGTTTTTCTTTTTCTTTTTTGTAACTTTAAATTTGGAATAAATATCATTAAAAAAAAAAAAAAAGAGAGAAACGGAGCCCCTTCCATTTCTCCTCCTGCTTGGCTGAAGGGGCGCTGCGTAGCTCTCCCTCTCTGCTTGCTCTCCCGGCTTCAGCAAAAGGAACCCGAAGCCTCCGGAGGCTTCAGGCGGCTATCCCTGAAGCCTTCAGAGCGCAGCGCGAGTTCCCACAGCGCAAGAGTCTTGCTCTCCCGGCTTCAGCGAAAGGAAGCTGAAGCCTCCGGAGCGCGGAGGGAGCGCTCCCCCTGCGCTACGGAGGCTTTGCATTGCTATCGCTGAAGCCAAGGAGCCTGCATTCGCTCCATAGGATGCACACACATTTCCCCTTAATTTTTGGAGGGGAAAAAGTGCATCCTATGGAGCGAAAAATACGGTACATTAAGTCTCCAGGTTCGATCCTGGTAATCTTCTCCAAGAGACAGCCGGGAGAGAAGCTGCAGAGCTGTTGGGCTAAGTGGACAATGGCCTTAACGCTTTGTGAAAAGCAGCAGCTTATGTTTCACAAAACCTGTTTGACCAGGAAAGACGGCGACACAAAAGTGCGCACGTCATAAGGAGGCAGTGCCTGACTCCCGCTTTAACCTTTCAAGTTAAGATAAGCTAGGACAGAAAACCCAGAAAGAGACTGTCTCATTTTAAAAGGAAACTCCCGTTTCAAACAGCTCGGTTTACACCGGCACGCACGTCTCGCGATCAAGCAAAGAAACCAAGTCGGATTAGAAGTACATCTACTCAGGTTTTTTTTTTTAATTCAATATATTAAATATATATTAATAATTGGAAAAAAGTCACATACTGGAAATTGGAAAGGAGGGATAGACAAATATAAATGTCAAAAAAAAAAAAGAAAGTTTGGCAGACTTTTCAATACAAAGTTATATACACAGAAAGGCAGAAGGTGTCCTACAAATTTAGGGCGAAGCAGATTTCTCAGCGGCTCATACAGAAGAGCCCGCCCCCCCCCGCTTTCCCTCCTCTGCCATTCATTCAATCATCCATTCATCTGTATTTACAAAGCCAACGTGCCCATCCTCTTATATACAACTTTTACGCACACAAAAAAGAACACAAAAACACCATCCGACAAAACTTGGCTGCCCCTGACGAAGCGGCAGGTGGGAAGAACAAGCTATCAGAGGGATATGTGCTTACTTACGGCAAAACTGTGCCGCCACTTCCCCCAAGTTGCACCGAGTTCAAGATTGCAAGCAGCTTTTACGGAAGGGAGTTGGAAAAACAAAAAAAACTCATCCAGTTCCCATACTTGAGAGGGAATTCTTTGCCAGGGCCAGGAACATGGATAAAGTAAGAGAAGGCAATTATTTTTTTTTTTTTAAATCCCTAACCAGCCTTTGACTATTAAAAAAAACAACAAAAAACACAAAACACCAACATATTCCACATGTATTACACAAAGCTGATCTGTGCAACTGTATGGAATTTAGGCGTCGCATTGCACGTGTGGAGCCGTTGGCAAGTTACATGGGAAAGGCAGCATTATTTAGGGATATTGTGCATGTAACCCTAGAAGGCACACCGGGATATCCCCCCCCCCCCCGCTCCCCACAAGGTTAAAAAAAAGAAGAACACAAACTCCAAAAAAGTTGTCCGAAGTTCAGAGAGAGGAAGAGGAGATGAGAGAAGGAGAGCAATGTCCCACTAAACTCCAAGATCCAAAAGGGTGGACAAAAGGAGAAAAGGGGGCGGGGCATGATAACGCTAGTGGCCTTCGTCATCCGACCACTAGGCTTAAAAATTTTAAACATCCTCTGTAATGTCTCTGGGGGAGAAAAATGTCCCTGCAAACTCCCCTCCAGGTGATGGGGTGGCAAGGAAATCCCCTCTGCCAGTTTCTGTCCATCTGCCACCACCCCCAAATATATATATATATATATATATATATATAAAGCCACCCTCCCCCCAAACAGGAAGAACCACAGATTCACGGCAGCTTCCTTCCTTCCTTCTTTTGGAGTCCTCAGAAAGGCAGCGTGTCCATGAATATTTTGTCCACAATGGGCGGCGGGGGGACCAGATCCTCGAGCTTCAGGTAGAAGATGCGCTGGAGCCCTTGAGTGCACAGGGTGCGGAGTTCGGGGAGCTTGCCCAGCAGCCTGGAGAGGCAGTTCGGGTGGAGCTGCTCGTTGGTGGTGGAAGTCACGTGGTCTTTAAGGCAGCTGACAATGCGGTTCTGGAGGTCTTCAACCTTCTTTGGCTCTTTTAACCCATGGCGGTCTGGTTTGGAGACGCCGGTGAGAAGGAGGAAATGGCGGCGGCAGCAAAAAAAGAATAGGGAAGGAGCTGTTAAACACGAGAGCGAACCAAGGACTTCTCCTGGTATGCCCCGAAGAGGACTTTAAATAACCATAGTTTATAGAGGTCCCAGGCCCTAAGGAAGTCAGATTATCCTCCACCAGGGCCAGGGCCTTCTTAGTGATGGCTCCGACCTGGTGGAATGCTCTGTCCCATGAGACCAGGGCCCTGCAGGATTTTACTTCCTTCCGCAGGGCCTGTAAGACAGAGCTATTCCACCTGGCTTTCAATTTGAACTTAGCCTGATCTTTCCTTCCCTCCCTCTCCCCTTTTTATTAAGATTACCCGCTCCGGGATCCCACAGCTAATTCTCCCCTGGTCTCCTCGCTGGCCCAAATAGGACTAATTTAGGCAGCTAGCCCTGGTGATCACCTAATGTTTATTTGATGGATTTTTGAATCCTGAATTTATTGCTATTCACATTTTATACTGTATTTTATGCTGTTTTTCGTTGCATCAATAAGTGTTTTAAATTTGTTGTTAGCTGCCCTGAGCCTGGTTTTCTGAACCAGGAAGGGCGGGGTGTAAATAAACAATTATTCTTATTTATTATTCTCCCTGATGCAGTCAGACATGTTGGGCTCCCTAAGGTCCCATAAGTATCTCATGGTGTTCCATGCTACTCAGGTGTCGAGACGTAGCGAAAGAAGGACCAGGGGGACTGTGTCACCGGGCGCAGATTTTTGAAAGGGCACAAGGGGAAACAACTGGGCGCACCCACGACAGGCTCCCTCCCTCGCCAAGCCACGCCTGGGCTCGGCCTTCAGGACTGGAGCGGTGGTGCCTTCCAGATATTGCTGGACAGCCCCTCCCAGAGCAAGTAAAGGTAAAGGGACCCCTAACCATTAGGTCCAGTCGTGGCCGACTGGGGTTGCGGCGCTCATCTCGCTTTATTGGCCGAGGGAGCCGGCATACAGCTTCCGGGTCATGTGGCCAGCATGACTAAGCTGCTTCTGGTGAACCAGTGCAGCGCATGGTAACGCCGTTTACCTTCCCACTGGAGCGGTACCTATTTATCTACTTGCACTTTGACGTGCTTTCGAACTGCTAGGTTGGCAGGAGCAGGGACCAAGCAACGGGAGCTCACCCCGTCGTGGGGATTCGAACCGCCGACCTTCTGATCGGTAAGTCCTAGGCTCTGTGGTTTAACCCACAGCGCCACCTGCGTCCCTCCCAGAGCAAGTAGATCTGATCTATCCCTTTCTCTAAAGGCGCCTAGAGATGTCGCAAACTGGTTGGCAGCCTTAAGCACCTCCCTTCCAGAGATCCGGGGCTTCCTCGATCCTGCCTATCAACCTGCGCTTTCCGCAGCCACACCCGTGCACCCCGGAGAACCCCCCCAGCGATGTGGGCGCCGGGCCTACCTGTGATGATGACAAGCGCCGCGAGGCAGGAGAAGGAGGGCACATCGATGTTCATGCGGTGGAGGCTCTGGGAGAACTCGATGATGGAGTCGATCCACTCTCCAAAGCCTCGGACACACTGCATCCGATGGAGCACCACCCCGTTGCAGAATATCAGCTTGCCTTCTTCTGGCTTGGACCTGCAAGAGAGAGAGAGAGAGCACGGTTTGAGTTGAAACTTGGACAGTGTGTGTCGGCCACTGGAGGGAAGGGCATAGAGCCAGCAGGGCAAGCCATGGGAGTTTGCCGGGCAATGTTGGCCTGGACTGGGCAGTTGGAGCTCATTGCCAAACGCTGCTGCTTCACTGGAACTTGGAATCCCAGGGTCACAGGCAGGCACAGCATTTGTTCCAGACAGAGGTCTTGAGTCGAGGAGCCTCCTGAACTGGCTATGAAAGCCATGTCTGCTCCCACTGGGCTCTCCTACCCACCCACTTTGGGGCAAAAACAGCACCTGTGGTCTTCTCTCTCCCACAATTCCCTTGTCCCAGCATGACACGCGGAAGCCCTTCCCTTCCAGAGTAAGGAAGGAGAGACTGTAAACAAAGGCTTCCTTTGCTCACAGCGTCCCCTATCAGATGTCTAAAAAGGTAAAGGGACCCCTGACCATTAGGTCCAGTCGTGGCCGACTCTGGGGTTGCAGTGCTCATCTCGCTTTATTGGCCAAGGGAGCCGGTGTACAGCTTCCGGGTCATGTGGCCAGCATGACTAAGCTGCTTCTGGCGAACCAGAGCAGCGTACGGAAACGCCATTTACCTTCCCGCCAGAGTGGTACCTATTTATCTACTTACACTTTGTGCTTTCAAACTGCTAGGTTGGCAAGAGCAGGGACCGAGCAACGGGAGCTCACCCCATCACGGGGATTCGAACCGCCAACCTTCTGATGGCAAGTCCTAGGCTCTGTGGTTTAACCCAGAGCGCCACCCGCATCCCTATCAGATGTTTAGAGGGCCCATAACGCAATAATGTTCAATTCAAGGGCTCTGGGTCTATATATGGAGGATTCCCTTCTCCTCTTGCATCTGTTTGTTTTATTTTGCCGTACTGTCACCATCCCTGCAACCCGATACGAGGTGACCTACTGAGCTTGCCTCAAATTTAGAGGCTAAGCGGATCACTGTGGGTTTCGTACGGCAGCCCTGCTGCTGCACGTTTACCTGTACGCTAGCCGGAGAATGAAGAGCTCCAAAAAAGCAGATTCCAAAAGCAGGTCTTGATCCTCTTTCGGAAGCTCTAGGAAGCCCTGGATCTTCTCCGCCCATTTCCGGATGACGTCCATCGAGCCTGTCAACAGGTCGTAGAACTGCTGCACGTCGACACAGTCCTCCTTCTCAAACTGGTAGGAGACAGATTCCTGGAACTGGGGAGGGGAGGAAACAAGCAAAAAGGTTGAAGAGCAGGCACAACCCAGCTCATGGCCCCCGCCCCTGATAACACACTCATTTTATTTTGGGAGGGGGTAGAGAGACAGGCAGGAGTGTAGACGCTACCACTAGCACAATGACATTCTCCTTGCTAGCGCTGATAGAGAGGAATCAAGATTGATGAACTCAAGACTCTCATTTGAATGGCCAAATAATGCATCTCAAGCCAGAGATTACTAATAATGGCACAGGAGAGCTGAAAATAATGCCAATGTATTTCACATCTGGCAACCATTGCGCCCCTTGGGTTTCAGATAGCACATGGGTAGACGAATGCCCGCGATGGGGTCGGCTCCCGTTGCTCGGTCCCTGCTCCTGCCAACCTAGCAGTTTGAAAGCACCTCAAAGTGCAAGTAGATAAATCGGTACTGCTCCGGCGGGAAGGTAAATCGCGTTTACGTGCACTGCTCTGTTTGCCAGAAGCGGCTTAGTCATGCTGGCCACATGACCCGGAAGCTGTACACCGGCTCCCTCAGCCAATAAAGCGAGATGAGTGCCGCAACCCCAGAGTTGGCCACGACTGGACCTAATGGTTAGGGGTCCCTTTACCCTTTCCCACATTCTATCTGAAACCAAAGGGATGCATTGTTTGCTAGGTGTGATTCCCCCCAGCTGTCCTACTCCAATATATTGTATTCTCTGCTCACGAGCCATTTCAAGCCATTTCTAGTGTCTTTTCAAGCCATTTCAAGTGTCACGAGCCATTTCAAGTGTCTAGGCTGCTGATTTGGGGCTGGAAAGTGTATCCAAAAACAAAACCCCCCACCCCTTCAGCTCAGGCATATTCCATTAACAGGACCTGCGGCATCTGTTGGGAAGGGCTTCGCCCTGCTAAATTGCCTAGCCCTTTGCTCCAAGTCATTCCATGGCATGTCAGACTACCTAGGCACTTAAAATGGCACCATTATTTCAGGGCATTTCAGCCTGCCACGGGACCATTTGGGGCATCCCACAAGGAACAAAGTACAAATGTGTTTAATTTATCTGCCTGGCACATTCTCCCCCCGCCGCCCCCACCCCAAGTCAGCCACGAGTGCCACAGACTGTAGGAACGCAGATCAGTAAGTACCTTGGAATAATCAAGCTTTGTTGCGCTGGGTATGGAATCTATGTGCGCTCTCACAAGAGAGGAGATGAGGCTGACTGGAGAAGTGTCTTGAGTTTGCTTGGGTTTGGAGGGCAAACGACCACGCCGGCCTTTCAAGCTGTCCGTCCGCACCACTGAGGGAAGGAGGAAGTGAAAAAAGACACACATTCAGAGAGGTTGGGAGCAGAGACGTGCGGGAACTATCGACAGGACTAACCGTGAGGCTTAGGAAGGTTTTAATCGCAGAATGGAATTTGGATCCCGGCCAAAGTGGAGTAGGCATTGGTCTAATTGCTGTATGCTAGGTACGTTTCGCAAGATGGCGGGTTGGGGTATTCTGTACAGTGGTACCTCTGGTTACGAACGTAATTCGTTCCAGAGGTCTGTTAATAACCTGAAACCGTTCTTAACCTGAGGTACCACTTTAGCTAATGGGGCCTCCTACCGCCGCGTGACTTCTATTCTCATCCTGAGGTAAAGTTCTTAACCCGAGGTACTACAGTGGTACCTCGGGTTACATATGCTTCAGGTTACACACTCTGCTAACCCAGAAATAGTACCTCGGGTTAATAACTTTGCTTCAGGATAAGAACAGAAATCGGGCTCCGACGGCGTGGCAGCAGCAGGAGGCCCCATTAGCTAAAGTGGTGCTTCAGGTTAAGAACAGTTTCAGGTTAAAAAACGGACCTCCGGAACGAATTAAGTACTTAACCCAAGGTACCACTGTATTTCCAGGTTAGCGGAGTCTGTAACCCAAAGTGTTTGTAACCCGAGGTGCTTGTAACCTTAGTACCACTGTATTTCACAACTGCACAACAGAAGTGCGGAATGCGATACTTGTATTAAGTGGGTGACCTCTCTCGATGCTACTAAACTACAACTCCCATCACCTCTGACCATTGGCCAAGCTGGCTGGGGGCTGATGGGAGTTGGAGTCCCATAGCATCTGGGGGGCTGCAGGTTCCACATGCCTGTTTGAAATCTCAAGTGCTGGTCTTGGACAGTCAAAGGAAGCTTGCGAAAGAGTTGCTTCTCCTCCCCTCATGCTAAGTCATTTACATGTCCTGTCTCATTGGCTCTTTGCTCTGAATAATTCTGCTCCTGACCCCACACTTAAAAAGCCCCAAACCCCTTTATATAGATCTCACTGGCCAGAGCGAGGCAATGACACCAGCAGACTGTTGTTAGCTAGTGCACCCTGCCAAAATGTGGCACAGATCACATCAGCGCAGAACCTAATCACCCCTTAATCCTTCTGACAATTCACGGCTGAAGAGCAGATATTCCTGACTGCTTCAATGGACGTTGATGACTGTAAAATGAGATTTAAATCTGCCAGTGATTGCGAAGACCAAACGCATTAAGGTGCTTGCCTTGGGCAAATAACACAAGCCACAAGCCGATTAAACCCCTGATCTTATTAACACTTTAACCTGCACATCAAACTCAACGAACAGGGACGTCTCTTACCTTCTTTGACCATTCCTACAGCAAGGCACTTCTGGAAACGACAAAACTGGCACCGGTTTCTCCTCCTCTTGTCCACAGGGCAGTCTTTATTGGCTAAGCAGATGTATTTGGCGTTCTTCTGTACAGTGCGCTACGGGAGACAGAACGGCAGCGGGGACATTTAGGACTCATCACACACATGCACAAAAACACATAGGGCATCTCCAAGCTCGGTGTTGAGAAAGACAAAAAGCCCATTTATTTATTGCAGTGTTCCTACAACCCTGCTGTTTCCAGTTTCACAAGGGTGCGACAGAAATCGTACGCACCTTCCGCTGTGCCTTCACATTTCCGCATGTGGGTACTGTTACCATAAGGCCACAGAAATGGGGTGATGAAAGATGGAAATGGCACTGAGAATGCCTGATGTCAGAGAAACCGAAGCGTCTCTCTCTCTCTCTCTCTCTCTCCAAGATCTGCAATTGGCTCACCTCAACCACTAAAAATCTGAAAGGTCTTTGTTTGGTATGCATAAGATCTGGGTCTTTCTGCATTCATGCAACTGGAGAACAGTTTAATGCAATATGCATTAAAAAGGCGGCAGGTTGGAGCAGCCGCATTTCAAGCTCTCAGCTGTGGGACAAGTTAGAAAGTCACACACCACAAATGGGGCCGTTCAAAATGCAAATCAAACAGCTCTGGGTAGAGATCTGAGCATTTTGAAGCAGCTGAATGTTGGGTCTGCTGCACGCCCAGCCAAAAATTGTATACCGTATTTTTCGCCCCATAGGACGCACTGGCCCATAGGACGCACCTAGTTTTTTGGGGGGGAAATAAAGAAAAAAAATTTATTTCCCCCCCCAGGTGCGGGGCGGGGGCAGGGGAAGCCCGAGCTTCTCCCGACCCCAGCCCCCAGAACAGGCTGCTATCCGCAAGCCGTGGGAGAGCTGCGCTAAGTCCCGCAGCTCTCCCACGGCTAGCGGAGCGCTGCGCGAAGCCCGAAGCTTGGGGCGAGCTGAGCTCAGCGTGCCCCAAGCTTCTGGGTGCCGGCAAGCTCTCCGCTAGCCGTGGGAGAGCTGCGTCTCCCACGGCTAGCGGATAGCTTCCTGAAGCCTGGAGGGCGAGAGGGGTTGGTGCGCACCGACCCCCCTCGCTCTCCAGGCTTCAGCGAAAGCCTGCATTCGCCCCATAGGACGCACACACATTTCCCCTTCATTTTTGGAGGGGAAAAGTGCGTCCTATAGGGCGAAAAATACGGTAAATCTTGTAAGTAAACAAGCATTTACTATGCCGCCACCTCCTCCTCCTGGCTACTTTACAGGAGTAAAGTACCTGAACTACAAGCAACGGGTCACATGGCTGCTTCAAAGCGACAGAGACAACATGGATCCCCCATGCCATTCAAGTTTGGCCAAGCGAATTAGCTCAGAAAGTTTCAGGATTCAAAATGTCCCCAGCCACCCACCAACAGCTTTGCAGATTCGGAGATCTGGCCGTTTGACAATTGGCATGAGGCCATGTCTACCCACAAACAAGTTGGTATCACAGCTATTCTGTCGCTTTGGGTGCAATGGGACGGCAAGCTAAGAATCTCATAGGGAATTTCTTCTTCTCCGCTGCCCAGTAAGGACATTGTGATCAGCAAATGGAACCCAGTTAAGTTTTGCCACGGCCAGATGATTATTAGCTTGTGGTAACATGGAGACGGGCTTTATCCTTGTGGCACCAGCGTTTATCCTTGCCGAGATATGAGAGACCCCATCAGTATTGGCGTTCCGACGGATCCTGCAGACCCATTTGCTCAGGGACGCATTTCCCTGAACTTGACCTTATTGTTTCAGCTGTGTTTTGATTATCATGCTTTTTAACTGCCTTGATTTATTGTACATTTTAATGACAGATGCTGCAATGCTCTGTGTAATTTAATTATGCATAGATTTTGTAACGGATTCCATAGTTGTAAAATGACTCAGAAGCCATTTTGGCATATAAGAGTTAAACAAACAAACAAACAAACAAAATGACTTTGCAGCATCTTCGCAAAGCTACGGGTCCCGTGGAAGGAGCCACGAGACTTCAAGTGGTGCTAAACAAAACAGGTTTGTAGTACAGATATATCTGCTGCTTTTAAGTACCTAGACTTACAGGAGGGTGTTCAGACACTGCTTCTCTTGTAGAAAATGTCAGGATCCATAATAATTCATAATAATAATAATAATAATAAATTATTTATACCCCACCCATCTGGCTGGGGTTCCCCAGCCACTCTGGGTGGCCTCCAACAAAATATTAAAATACAGTGGTCTGTTAAACATTAAAAGCTTCCCTAAACAGGGCTGCCTTCAGATGTCTTCTAAAAGTCTGGTAGTTGTTCTCTTTGACATCTGGTGGGAGGGTGTTCCACAGGGTGGGTGCCACCACCGAGAAGGCCCTCTGCCTGGTTCCCTGTAACTTGGCTTCTCGCAGCGAGGGAACCACCAGAAAGCCCTCTTGGTTTGGTTTGCAAGATCTGCTTGTGTTCACTAACCCCCTCCCTACTCCTCTGTCATTGAAGTTTTGTGTCCTGAAATTTATCATCTCCAAGCTTCTAAATGTATATGTTTATAATTTTCCAAAACTACAGTAGAAGTGGGAACGTTAGGAAATGGGGAGGAGGGTTGTGTTGTTAGTAGACCAGTCTTCTCCTGGCCACAGGCACTTACTCCAGAGTTAATACAGTTAATCCAATTAAATTGTTTTCATTAATTTGTTGTTGCTTGGTCTATACGCTACTGTGTTTGATTAATTTGTTCTTGCTGTTTAGCGACTGCAGTATTTGTTGTTAGAGCATGGTGCTGATAACGCCAAGGCTGCAGGTTCGAACCCTGTATGGGACAGCTACGTAGCAGGGGGTCAGACTTGATGTTCCTCAGGGTCCCTTCCAACTCTATGGTTCTATTATCTATTATAAGACGAATACATATATTAAATCAACTTAACTCCAGAGAGAAGATTTGCAGGGATGAGGATGTTCTCAGAATTCCCCTGCTGAATTCTCAGAACCGGAATCAGGGTAGGTCTTTCTTGGCCAGGAGATCAATAAAGGTAAAGGGACCCCTGACTATTAGGTCCAGTCATGACCGACTCTGGGGTTGCGGCGCTCATCTCGCTTTATTGGCCGAGGGACAGCTTCCGGGTCATGTGGCCAGCATGACTAAGCCGCTTCTGGTGAACCAGAGCAGCACATGGAAACGCCGTTTACCTTCCCGCTGGAGTGGTACCTATTTATCTACTTGCACTTTGACGTGCTTTCGAACTGCTAGGTTGGCAGGAGCAGGGACCGAGCAACGGGAGCTCACCCCGTCGCGGGGATTCGAACTGCCAACCTTCTGATCAGCAAGTCCTAGGCTCTGTGGTTTAACCCACAGTGCCACCCGCGTCCCAGGAGATCATACTGAGGGCTTAATACGTAGAGACTGCTTGGCTACTTAAGCATCTCCCTGAACTTTCAGCTAAGAGCCAGGGCCTAGTCCAGGGACAAGTAGCATATGGCCCTCAAGATATTGTTGGACTACAACTCCCATCATCTCTTTGACCACTGAGCCAGGCTGGCTGGGGCCGATCGAAGTTGGAGTCCCACAACCTCTGGAGGGCCACAGGCCCCCCTCCCACTCATGCCTGCTCTGGTCTATTTACTTGTGTGTGCAGACTGCTGCTTACAGCAGAAAGGAATTCTGCACTCCATTCCTAGCTGTTGTGGGTTTAGCTGTGGAAAGTTACTAGATGGAACAAATGCGAACTTTTCAGAGAGACGGAGGGCTTCCTAAAGGTCCCGTAGCCTGCAGAAAGCTCATCTCCAACCTTCCAAAAATGCTCTTGCCACCTACCCCTGTGAGGGGACAGAGAGCTCTCACAAAGACCTCCTTTATTCGGAGAGGCCAGGGAAAGGTCCGATGACTCATCCCTGTAGCAGTCAACAGCAGAGGCTTCCTCCCTCTCTCTCCTCCTCCTCCTCCTCCAAAAAGTCCCAGCATGCTTTGCACTGCCTCTAGAGACACATGGAGGACTGGAATGCCTTTCCTAGCAGCATCCAGCAGACAGATGCACACCCCATACATTTAAAGCATGTGACTCTCCCTTTTTTAAAAGAAAAAGTATCATGGGAACTATAGTTTACTCTTTCATAGAGCTATTCCCAGCACCCATAGCAAGCTACAATTCCCAGAATCCTTTGGGGAGGGGGACTTCAGTGCATTAAACATAGATATAGCCTGAAAAACACCACCAGCAGAACATGAGAATTTTCTCAGTTTTGAGGGCGAGCCAGAAAGTTGTTGTTCTTACCTTGAAAAACCCCTTGCAGCCTTCGCAGGTCCGAACACCATAGTGTTGGCACGAGGCGTTGTCTCCGCACACGGCACAGCGCCCCTCGTTGGACCCTGGGCTGCGCGCCTTGCTGGGCGAGAGCGAACTGTCCATTAAGCCGGAGCCGTCCAGGACCGGCGAGGCCTGGCTGAGCGGCAAAGGGGAAAAGCTGACCGACGAAGAAGGTTGTGGGAGAGAGAAGACGTCTCCGTCCACCAAGTGCTGGTGGGTGGGCGGCTGCATCTTCAGGGGGCTCTGTGGAGGGACCCCGGGGCTGTGAGCCGAGGGGCCGAAGGAGAAGTAGGAGGGCTGGGTGGAACTACTTTTGGGAGGCTCCGTTGCTGCCGACGCCCAAGACCTCATGCCCTCGTAGGCGTGCGTGGGGGAATAGGCCCCAAAGGAGTTCTCCCAAGATGGCCCCTGGGAAGTCTGGTAGCTTGGCGTGGAAGGGGAAGGGACGGAGCAGGGGCTGCCGTAATAGTCCGAGCCGCTGGAGGACATCGTCTCGTCCAGCTGGCTGCTGAAGGAGCCGGGGTAGCAGCCGTACACTTGGAAATCCTCCAGCTTGAAGGAGGCGGCCGTGGGGTTGGCAGCTGGGATCTGGTAGAGGAAAGCGTCGAATTCACCGGTGTAATTGTCCATGAAGGTGCTGAAGCTGGGCAGAGAGGTGGCGGCGGCAGTGATCTCTGTGTTAACCAGGTCCATGGTGGGTTTGCCAAGCTCGGGGGTCAAGAGGTCCGCTGGGTAGCGCTCACAGGGGCCTCCGCTCTGAAGCAAGGTCCCATATTGGGTTTGGATACAGGGCATCTCTAGGAGCAAAGGGGAGGGGAAAGGGAAAAGAGAAGAGAGTCGGCTGTCAGTTATGGGATAGTCGGTCATATAATATCCTCTGAGAGGGAGCAGCTGGCCCATTAGGGAAACGGGGGCACTGCCCCACCAATCTCAGTGTAACCTCAGCCAGCCCCACGCCTTATGCACAGCCCAGGCGAGTGGTATTGCTTGTTGTCGTCTTCCTCTTTAATTTCAGCGTTGTCCCATTGTAGAACTCTGTAGGGGCAACACTGGTTGGCTCTGCCTGTCATTAGCCCTGCCTGCACCTGCTGTTGACTCTCTAGCTCCACCTGCTGTTGGCCTCCCACCCACCCAGTCTCAAAGGGTGCCAGCCAACAGCTGGCAAGGTGGGTGTTCCTAGTCTTGAGACACGTTCAGTAGCTGGTTAGCAGGAGAGGTCAGTGGCTAAATGGCTGCTATGAAAGCGGAAGGGGAAAAGCAAGCACCGCCTAACAGATGTTGTTGCTGGCGAGTGCCCTTACAAACAGAGCTGGCCCAAGACGTTTGGGCTACCTGAAGCAAGGGACAGATGCTACCCCTTGTCCCCAACAACAGGCATAGATGCTAACAGGACCAGCAGCTGAATCCTGCATCCTGACAATATAGGTGAAGCATCTGAGGGTAGCTGGAGGGTTGCTGGGGGGTGTCAGACGACACACAAGAGCCTGGTTCTCCAACACCTTGCTGCTGCCCCCAGCGATTGCCGACTTGTTATGCCCAATGGTAAGGCCTGCCCTGCTCACATGAGCGGTGTGCTCATCTCATCTTGGCCCCCATTCATGCAAACAGTTTCTTCAGTTTCCCATACATGTAGGCATGCCAGCCTTTTTCATTCATGCAAAGGAGTCCTCTGCTCAAAAGAGGCCTTTACACATTTGTGGGGCACCTTTTGTTCATGGGAGGAAGGAAATTTGTAGGAAATTTTATCCTGTATTTTCACCTTGCGAACCATTTTGGGATCTTCGGATGAAGGGCGATATATACAGTGGTGCCTCGCAAGACGAAATTAATTCGTTCCGTGAGTTTTGTCGTCTTGCGATTTTTTTCGTCTTGCAAAGCACGGTGTCGGGAAAGTTTTGGAAAAGCTTCAAAAATCACCAAAGTCTTTAAAAACCTCAAAAAAGGCTACCACACCGCGTTCTATGAGTTGCTCCTCGAAGTCAAGTCGCAACTGTATTAACGGTGTTAAGATAAAGGAAACAAACTTGCAAGACGTTTCCGTCTTGCGAAGCAAGCCCATAGCGAAAATCGTCTTGCGAAGCAGCTCAAAAAACAAAAAACCCTTTCGTCTAGCGAGTTTTTTGTCTTGCGAGGCATTCGTCTTGCGAGGTACCACTGTAAATTTAATAAACAAATAAGCAGGAAACAGAGCCAAGCACAAACTCTGGGCATTCCTAGAGATACGCATCTCCTTGGGGTAATAACAGCACTTTGGGTTAAATGAAAACACCTCCATTTGCCTTTGTAAAATGCACGGCGCCTGCATTTTACTGGCTGCCACTGTCGACTAGAGGCAGATGCGACATGCAGCCAACTATCCAACTTAAAAGAGAACTGTCAGGGTTCGCTCTTTTGCAACATCTAGTCTCTGACACCCCTGGCTAACAGCAAGAACAAGGTCTGTAGATCTAGCTGGTTATGGGGCATTGTGCATGGCGATGGTCATTTTTGTTGAAAAGGCACCAGAATTCTTAAAGGATTTATTTCCTAGCTGTCTGAGCTGATATCCAACAGGTGCATGATCACTGGGTGGAAAGACACAATAGGAAAGACCCTCCTGTTGTCTGCATCATGACTGTTGTGCGTGGGCGATGTTTATTGTTCCTTGCCTAATAGGAGGCATGCAGCTGGGTGAGCTCATTTCCACTCTTATTCTTCCACCTCGCACAAATTTGCTGGGAACCTGCTGTGGGCACAAGCCTTAGGCAACAGTTTCCTTGGTAATGCGGAGAATGCAACCGACAGCACAACTGGGCAACCAACCAACACAAGATCCTTTTAACTTTGAAGCTGGGACGATGATCCTGGCTTGTGCCAACAGAGGATGAGCTTCAGAGGCAAGGAGGAAAACAAAAATCACATCGCCCCACCTCCAGCAAAGCCACCCCCAAACAGCCAGCTTATATAGGACCCACGAGGCATGCCTAGCAGCTTGCAGGAGAAAACACATGCTCCTTAAGGGAATGGGTATGCTTATTCACACTATTTACTTCCTTGAGGAGGGCCATGTGGTCTGCCTGAAGCTGGCTCACCAGTGCGGGCATTTGGATAGGGATCATAGATTGGAGAGTTGGAAGGGACCCTGGGGTCATCTAGTCCAACCCGCTGCAATGCAGGAACCTCAGTTTAAGTATCCATGACAGATGGCCATCCAACCTCTGCTTAAAAGCCTCCAAGGAAGGAGAACCCACAACCTCCTGAGGGAGAACGTTCCACAGATGGATGAGTGAGGGGAGAGAGAGGGGATGAAATATAAATAAATAGGAGGAGGAGGAGAAGAAGAGTTTGGATGTGATATCCCGCTTTATCACTACCCGAAGGAGTCTCAAAGTGGCTAACATTCTCCTTCCCCTTCCTCCCCCACAACAAACACTCTGTGAGGTGAGTGGGGCTGAGAGACTTCAGAGAAGTGTGACTAGCCCAAGGTCACCCAGCAGCTGCATGTGGAGGAGCGGAGACGCGAACCCGGTTCACCAGATTACAAGTCCATCGCTCTTAACCTCTACACCACACTGGCTCCCATTTGGGCGTCACTCCTGCTGGTTGAGGACAAAATGGAGATGCCAAAAGAAGAAGAAGAAGAGTTTGGATTTGATATCCCGCCTTTCACTCCCTTTAAGGAGTCTCAAAGCGGCTAACATTCTCCTTTCCCTTCCTCCCCCCCACTCTGGAGAGTTTGGATGCATGTGGAGGAGCAGAGACGCGAACCCGGTTCCCCAGATTACGAGACTACCGCTCTTAACCACTACACCACACTGGCTCTCAAAAGGCATTTGTGCAAGGAGTCATATTCTGGAAGTGAAGGGACAGCAAAGGAGCATGGGTAGAAGTTTTAAGAACTTTTTATTCCAAACGCAAAATGTAATTATCCAAATGGGTTTGAGCCAGGGCTGGGGAAACTGTGACCCTACAGATGTTGCTGGCGCACAACTCCCATAAATCCAGGAATTACTGGGCAAGGGCTGGTGGGGAGTCTAACCACACTGGGAGGGACACAGAGCCCACAGCTTTGGTTTTAAACAGGTAAGACTACCAAGGTACTGAGGCAGGACTCAAGTCCTCGACTGGTGTTGTTTCGAGATGACGCAATGCTTGGGACTTCCCAAGTCCATCTCCAGACCTTCGGCTTTTCCTTTCGTCCTCATCTTCCCCGATTCCGGGTCTCTCAATATTCCCACAATCCAAAGTGTGGAACGTAACAACAGTGTGGACTTAAGTGCTCTCGGATATTAGGCCGTTTCCTTCCTATCAAGAAAAGAGCTGGACTTGGAAACTATAATCCATAGTCAGACATCACTAACAGTAAGTAGCTCACATGCATTTTTCTTTTCGCTTCCTACCCCCCTTAAAGATGGACAGCACACCTACAAAACTGAGAAGAGAATGCTGTCGTTTTGCAAAACTTACTTATTTCGTAAGATTTACGGTTGGCTGATTCTAGGAGGGAGAAAGCTTGAGAGACATTATTGCTCCATGCATCTCTCATGCACGTAATGAAGAGGAAGATTGTAAAAAAAGAAAAAAAAAAAGGATTATCTGTTGAGTCACACCTTTGCCTGATCACTGCTCACATTGACCTTAAAAAAGTGCTTCTTCTGAAGGGCTGTCCTTATCTCTTGAGGCTCAAGCTGGGCAGCAATTTAAGCACTGGCACAAACAAGATACAATAAATCAGGGTGGGGGAACTGCCTTTACCCCCCAAGAGGCACCCTCATGCTGAAAGTACGCTCTGTGGGGGTTTAGCAGCAAATGTCCCCCCGCCCTATGGAAGAGGAGACGTAACAGGAGTTTTTGGCCCAGGCGAAAACCAAGACAGTAAGCAAGTTGCGGCAAGTTGATAATGTCATTCATATCACAGACCTTTAAAGGTTAGATTCTGTTTGGTGAAGGAGCTTCTGCTTTAATGGGCAGTAAAGGATTACGGAATGCAGAGATACGCAGAGTTCCAAGGACAAGGTTAAAGAGCTCCCCTTGGTGGGAAACAAACTCCTCTTTGGTTGCAGTGGTACTGGGACAACTGCGGCTACGGACCGGTCAGAACCACAATCCCTCTGTTAAGCTGCTGTTGGTTCAGCCGGCCTCTGGAAAAGAAGGTTCTCCCACTGAACTGAAACAGGATGAGAGCCAGTGTGGTGTAGTGGTTAAGAGCGGTAGTCTCGTAATCTGGGGAACCGGGTTCGCGTCTCCGCTCCTCCACATGCAGCTGCTGGGTGACCTTGGGCCAGTCACACTTCTCTGAAGTCTCTCAGCCCCACTCACCTCACAGAGTGTTTACTGTGGGGGAGGAAGGGAAAGGAGAATGTTAGCCGCTTTGAGACTCCTGAAGGGGAGTGAAAGGCGGGATATCAAATCCAAACTCTTCTTCTTCTTCTTCTTACCTGAATGGGCACCCAAATGTCGACCTTCGCAACACAATTCCTTCCAGGGCAGGAAGTGGCAGAAGCAGCCCCCAGGGTTTCTAACAGTTTGCCACTCCAGTGGCATCTGCAAGGGAGTTGCTATCACCAGTGTTAGAAATTCAGATCTATAAACTAGGCTCTCTTAATCCAAGATTACAGCCACCAAAGCGGAATGTCTAGTTGCCATTTTGGGGCAAGACGGCTCTAATTTTTCAAACGATGGACTGACCGTGATGGATTGTCAGCTAAACATCTGGCTACATCAGAAGACAACCTTGAGATAGCTGAAGAACTTTTGAGAACTTAAAGAAGGAAAGTCACTTGATCCAGGGACAGCCCACATATATATTGGCCTATTCCGACCTCTTTTTCTGAATGGTGACACAGACCATTCATAACGTAAGAATATTCTCCCTAACTGTGAGCAAGGCAGTGGGGTGGGGTAACTGAAGACAAGCCACAGCATTTAACTACAAGATTGTTCACTGCTCCAGCTCAGGCTGCACAGAAAAAGCATTTCGGCTCCTGAACTTCATGCCGATTGTGCAGATAAAATATAACTGATAGAAATCTACAGGATGTGGTATTAGCGTGTAAAAACAGTCAAGATCCAGTGATCCCCAGGCACAAACCTCCAGATGATGGAAATGTCAGGCGCCTTCCTGGCACCCAGGCATCTTCAATTGGTTGCAAGTGGCCGTTAGCCAGGTGCAAAATGCGCCTGGCTAATTTTGAACACTGATCAGGGCCAAAGGTTCCATTTGCCCAACGAGTGGGTGGGCTAGCCCCAATCGATTGCTTTCTAAAGAAGAACCTTCTCTGCTTGATACCAGTGTGCTGCCACACTCCCAGCTTCCTTGCTGCCACATAGGCTCGTTATTCTGCTGCCCTAAAAATAGAACCCTGGTACTTAATTGTTAAAGCTTGTTAGGATTTACAGTGCTCTAACACAGCAACAGATGCTACCCTGGGCTCTTTCTTGTGACATAGTATTTATTAGCTCTCTTCCCCCCCAGAGGAAGGCCTGACGTCTGCAAATGCAAGAGGGCCATCTCCCTTGGTAGTACAAATCGAGATAGTTCCATTACACTCGCTGGAGATCAAATCTCAGGGATTGCGGCTGGGATGGCAGAGCACAAGATGACAGCCAATACCACTGGGGCTTCTCAAACAAGGGGGCCTCTTAGCAAAAGGAGGAACAGGGAAAGAAGGCTGCAAGGTGAGAGCATCAGTCGAATGGTGTGACAGATAATGCTAACTTTCTATTGCTATTTCTGTCTATAGACTGAAGGAGTCCCATGGAGGAGGGATAGGCAATGTGGTCCCCTCCTAATGTTGCTGGGCTCCAATTCCCATCATGCCTGGCCCTTGCCTATGCTGGCTGCTGGCTGGGGCTGATGTTGCTGGTGTCTAACATCACCAAGAAGTTAGTACACCTTGGCTACCCCAGGTCCAGAGGTTGATCTACTCAGGTGAGACAAGCAGCCGTCACAGGTCCAGGAAAAGGGAACGCATCATTGACAATGCTCTGAAAACACACTAAATTTGGACAATTCAGGGGTCAGGAAATACTCCCTGCAACTCCTGCCCTGCCCCATAGACTCTAAAGGAATCTCACAGCTCTACACTTGCCTTCTGTAGAGGTTCCATACATTTGCTTACTATCTTCTCTGTATGAAGAGCTTTCGAAAGGTAGCACAGGAGATTTTCTGGATGCAAACAGGGCTGCTAGCTTGTGCAATGGGTTTTGTCCCCTTTATTCGCTCTAGCAGCCCTTCCAACCAGCCACCATAGCCGTACCTTCCAGCAGTGTTGATGTATAAATACTGAGCAGGTGACATGCTCGATGCTAGTGTACGATTTTTGCTCAAGGCAGAAAAGCAGGGCAGCAAGGGCTTTCCTGGCCAGGTGGCATGCAAAACATGTCGGCAATACCACACCCACAGTTCATCCCCTTTATGACTGTTACCAGCATGACACGGGGTAGATAGTCACAGGTTTTAACAACGAAGACTATTCTCACAACCTTGTTTATGTCAGGGCAGATTGCTATCCTGCTGCCAAAACGTAGGGCTGTATTCAGCTAAGTTGCACTCAGAGCAGACCTATTTAAATGAATGTGCATGGCTGCATTAGGTTCAATAATTTCTAGGGTTCTACTTTTATGTTTCTACGGAGCGGTTTGGATAAACCAGCAGAGGTTCTGCAACTCTTTCCCAGAGTAGGATTTCACCTTGCTCTTTGGGATGCTACAGAAAGACACCTTTTGTCTCAGGGACCAGCCTCAGGGACCAGCCAACTGAACTACAGTGGTACCTCTGGTTACGTACTTAATTCGTTCTGGAGGTCCGTTCTTAACACGAAACTGTTCTTAACCTGAAGACCACTTTAGCTAATGGGGCCTCCTGCTGCCGCTGTGCCACCAGAGCACGATTTCTGTTCTCATCCTGAAGCAAAGTTCTTAACCCGAGGTACTATTTCCGGGTTAGGGGAGTCTGTAATCTGAAGCGTATGTAACCCGAGGTACCACTGTATGGGAAAACCGGGCATTTGTGTGTTGCACTAAGGGACTCATAGCATCCAATGGGGGCTTGTAAGTTGCACATTTGCCTCCAACAGAGGCTCCAAATGCCAGGAGCTTGCTTTGCCTGTGTGCAACGGCACCCTGTGTACTGCTTCTCACACACAGCCCTCCCCAGCCGTCCAAGAACAGTTAATGGGTGCAGTCTTTCCATAACAACGCATTCACCTCTCCAGCTCAGCCAGCCCTTTCCAGAGCCTTGTTGTTTTCCCAAACACAAATGGCTTCTGTGGCACATCACAAACAAGCAACGGAGGCACGGCTACCTCTTGTACATTCATGGGCTTGTTTGCTTTTTAAAAATTTTTGCAGACGGACATATCTTGGTACAAGTTGGCTTCTCCTGCATTTCACAGCTTGGGCATTCAGGTGCCGTGCCTCCACGTTCCTTGTTTCAGAGAAAGACAGACACCAGGAAGCATAAACTACCTTGAAGCACATCTGGATAAATCTCATTAGTTTGGAGTTATTTCAGAGTTAGCCTGAGGATTAATGCTTGTGTGTGTGTGTGTGTGTGTGTGTGTACACAAATCTACATTGGTGTAGTTGTTCTGGGTTAGGCAGATCATCGCTCAAGCCCAGCAAACTTTCCCCAACAGTGGTCAGAAAATCTGAATGCCCACAGCATTGGCTATGCTGGCTAGTGTATGGAGGGGGCGAAAGATTTCATACCCCTAGTTTAGAGAAATCAACTGAGCACTAACAATATGACCTACTAGCTCCTTGCTTAAAATACTCCCTGCGTTTACAGACCAGACTGCTCAAGAGCACCCCCTGCCGGAAAGCCAAAACAGTAAGGATAGATCGCTGTCTCTGCACATGATTATGTTGGTGCAAATTAACCATGGAAGGGTTCCTAACTTCAGAACCGAAAACAGTAGCTGCTGATGCTCATGCATGTTTTAAAGCTAAGATGGCTTACAGATATCAAGGGGGCTTGGAACAACAAGTGCAATTTTACTGTTGGTTTGGAACATATGGGTGAGGTTATCGTCCCACTCTATGGAAGAAACCCCCACTGTTTATTGGCCAAGACGTTCCAGCAATAACTGCTGGAAATAATTGCTTGTGCTCAAGCCCACCTGAAGGAGGTGGGTCTAGGTTGATTCCAACCTAGATGTACAACTATCTAGTGGTATTATAGATGGTGGCCACACACTCCCCTCCCCATGCCTTTAACAGCTATGCAGAAGGCAGAAATCAAACAGGTGAAGCTTCATACAGTTACATGGATGGCATGATGAGGAAAGCTATGCCTGAAAGACTTCTGAAGAAGTCGACATGGCAATCAACTCTGTACTCCATGCTGTCAACAAGACACACACACACACACAAGCTTCCAATAATTAGAAACCAGACACAAAGTTATTGAGCTGTCAACATCAGATTTCAAGAAGCCCAGATCAGCCACCTGGGATTTTTCCTAGTTCTGATTGTCAGATAATTTGCCCCTTGCTTTAGCCTGCCAACAGCAATTTCTGGAGGGTATTTGGATGAGATGTAATGAAAGTAACAGGTCCCTTTTGTAACTGGGGCTACACGCATCTTTACCACTGAATCCAAAGGGACTTCTTTTTTCTTTTTTTAGTAAACCACATTCTTTGTTATTTTAATTCCAGTAAAACAAAACAGACCAAGCAGACATCTTCGGGATGGCATCCTCGTTATTGAACACCACTTCCACAGGATGAGCTCATATTAAACTATGATGAAATCCCCCATTTTATAATTGCAGCTGATAGACTCAACTGATTCACGCACCTAGGTTTTTCAGGTTTTCACCATCTTACGTGCAGAAAGTTGATGTGGCCCGGAAAAGAAGGTGCCAGTGATGAATTTGGAACCGTGACAAAAAATGAAACCCGCAGTGATCTGGCTCCTCAGCCTTTGAAGTCTAGCGCACCAACTTAGAAACAGGAGGAGACCCTGGTAGCTGTGAAAAAAACGGTGCCAGGTGCTTGAATTTGATGCCGCACCTGTTGCTCAGAACATGCCAGTAACTGCAAGCCCCTGAGAAGCCACATGAAAGAGGCCATGGCGGAGGAGCCCTCCCTGATTTACGCTCCACACCACCTGTGCTGACAGCAAGCTGCTTTGCAAATCAAAACTTACTATTATTATTGAAAGAAGAGCATCTCTTTTTGAGAAGGAGGGGGAAGAAATTAGATGGATAAGAGGGTGCTTCAAAATCTTCCCTCTGCACGCTTTGCATGCAAACAGGTCCCCCCACCCCACCCTTTTCCATCTTGAAGAGGGATTTCTGCGTTCAGGAAACAAGGACAGGACCAGCAATTGGCTTTACAAAAAAATTCTCCAACCCGATTAGGATCAAATGTCCTCGGGGACACTCTGCAAAGGCTTTACCTCACGCAGACAAGAATCTGGCACAAAGAGCTCTTCCTTGGTGGCCTCAGAATAAGGAAATAAACTTGAAGTCATGGAGAAACCTGTACACGGGGGTGGGGGTGGGGTGGGGGGGCGGGCACATTCAGCCTGATAAAGGAAACTTCTGCCTCACTGGAGAGCTGCAGGTGTCTAAACAAATCAGTGGCGACCTCAACAAAGATGGAACTCATTATTTATTTCCCCCTCTCCAAAATACGGAGTATTACAAAAACCAAACCATGTTACCAGCCTTGCAAGGGAACTTTGCAAGGGAACAGTCTTCATTATTCAGAGCCCACTGAGGCTGGCTGCACATTGTATTTTTGGCTATCAAACGTCCACCAGGTTGCCTTCCCGCAATGCAAACTCGCTTTCCTTCCAAATCAGACGCCATTAAACTTTTGCCCCAGAAGATCCTCCCCCCCCCCCGTCAGATTACACGGCTGTCACAATCGAGGTTTAAATATACATATATAAAGCAAAACCCACCTCTTAAAACTCACCAGCACACACCTGCCAAAACTCCCACAAGCTCAGGTTACTGCAACTTCATCCTTTAAAATGCAAATGTGGGCTCCCTGAACACTTGAAACAAGTGCATCATTCTAGTTTCCTTAGCCCAAACCCAGTCCACCCCCCCAACCCTGCAAATCCAATATCCTTGCGCTTTTCCAGTACAAAAAAGCCAACATCTCCTTCAATACATACCACGGGGGCGGGGGGGGCGGGGACATGCCCCAATACATCATTTCACACCTTCCTCATTGGCTCATATATATTTTTTCAGTTTGATTGAAATTCAGAAATAATTCTCCTGCGTTTATTTCATTTCAATATTTGCTTGCATCACTTTTATCCCCCTCAGTTAACGACGTCCTCTGAGTCAATTATACCTAGGAGCCATATGCGGGACAGCTTTCAGAAGCTGCCAACGTAACGTCAGGTTTAATGTTTGCTCTATGAAAATGAGCAGCCCTGCAGATCCTGGTAACGCACTGACTCCACCTTAGAGCAACTTTTCGAAGGCTGCAAGCCGAGACACACCTACTTAGGAGCCAATCATGAGAAACTCCGTGGGGTTTAAATTTAAGGACCGAGTTCTGTTCACCCCCTAAGATGCACCAAGATAAACGAGTTAGATCTGCAAGGGTCCGCTGCGCATCAAGTCCTGGATTTAGAATGCATACATTAAACAGTGTCTATACCTAGCCTTCCCTTCCTTCCCATTTTGCAGAAAAAAACTTTCCGGAGTAGAGGCTTGCCCAGCCCAAAGATATAACCGCCCCCGCCCCGATCTCCTGCACAGCCAACTTTTCACCGTGCAAGAGCACCCCGGGCACAAAGCGACGCGCTGTAATCCGTGCACTACAAAGTTCTTTTTCCGCCTTCCAAAACAAAACGCATCCCGCATCTCTCCCCATGCAACCCCCCCTCACCTACATCTGCCAAAAAGTCGACCCTCGAGCGCGCATCTTAAGCACTTTCTGCGCTTTCCGCGAGGAAAAAAAAAAGCAGTTTTAAGAAAATCCACGTACCCAAGTCAGCTCAGAGATCGTTTTGCTGCAGTTCCTTCCACTTTTGGGTTCTCTTTTCGAAATGGGTTCTTTTTGGTGGTGGGGGAGCCTTCCCCCCCTCCAAAAAATAAATAAATAAAAAAGTCAAGCTTGCATCGAGGGCTTGGCGGCAGCGATTGCCTTCCTCCTGGTCCGCGGCAGCCCAGAGATGCGCGCGAGAGAAAGAGCTGCACGCCGTCTAGACGCCGAGTAAGCCACTGGGGCTCACCAGCCCGTGGCCAGGAGATTCTCTTAAGCTCTCTGTGACGCACAGGCGGAGGGGTGGGCAGGGAAGGAGGGGGGATCCTCTGACGCACGCGCCGGGCTGCAGGCTTCACCATACAAGGCAAAAAGGGGCGGAATGTTCCGGCGCCCGCGGAGCGAGGGGAGGGGTTGGAATGTCTGCGCGGGTGACGCACGCGGGGTTCCATTGACGCACGCCTTGGAATTGTTTGATCTAAAAATAGAACGAGCTGCCCCCGGCTAAAAATAGAGCCCTTTCCCTAAGCCGGGGAGACGAGAGAAAGTGTCATAGGAAAAACCAAAAGGGGGAACGGGAGGATCCAGGGAACGGAAATGAAGGGGCGACGGCAAAATAATAATAATAAAAAAAGACCGGGCGATGCAAGAGGCGAGCGCGGTCTTGCAAGGCGAGCTCCTAGCAGCGCTCGGAACCGCGGCTTAGGCAGCTCTCGCAGCACTGTAGACACGCCGGCAACCCCCCTCCCCCTCCCCGCCGGGCGGTGGTTGCAGCCCTCGCTCCCTCCCAGCCAGCCACGAGGTTCTCAGGACAACCCCAAACTCCGCTCGCGTCTGTGCTTCCAGTGCCCTCCCCTCCTATAGTCGCCCGAAGCAGCGGCTCCTCCCCTTTCCTGGGAGCAGGGGCCGGCGGAACGCCCCGAGACTTGTTTTAGAAGATGCCCACCGAGAGGGAGCGGAACGGTGCCAAGCGGCACGCGGGAGGCGGGCGATGCTCTCTGCTCAGATCGTTGCAAAAGCCACGACGCCACCACCATGAATACAAAGAGCTGCCGCTCCCTCTCAGGAGCATTTGGGGATAATGCGAGCTTTGCAAACATGCGGGATTTGGGTTGCAACATTTTGAGCGTTGTTTTGTTTGCAAGCGTCGTCCCCACCGTCTTCAATAACAGCGCACGGTGAATTTAGGCGAGGACCCCCACCCCCACTTTCTTGGACTGGAGATGGGAAAACATAATTTCTGCGTCCCCTGCTGCTGTGAAAGGCACAGGGGCAAAAGCCACTACAGAGAAATAAACAAAAGTTGCAATCCGATGGTGAGAGTCAATTTCAGCGAGGGGGCATGACTTTCGCTTTTCTAACCCCATTTAACCAAGGCTGGGATGTTTTCCAGGTTTTTGCCTTCTTGCAATGCAGTGAATTGGCCCCTGCGGCATGGCTTTAAAAGGCACATGACTGAGCTGAAGCTAAGCAGGTCTGGCTACTGTATTGATGAGAGATGGCCTGGGAACCTAAGGCCTTAAGTCCCTATCTTTGGGCGGGGCGGGGGTTAGTTTGGTTATAAAATTAAACAATTACATAAGTAGATTTTTAAATATTTCCCCCCCCCATGCTCTGAAAATGCACTACCACTAAGCCTACAACCCGATTGAAGAAATGTTAAAAATCAAGAGTTTCAATTCATTTAACCAAGAATAATATTCATATCTGTCAATAAGACAACTTTTCTAAAAAATATTATGCACCCATATCAACTATATACTGTGTTTTTAGATGATGCACACATCCTTTGTAGTACATGTCCTTACTCCTCTCCCATACAACCCAACTAGGGGCAGGATATTTGTTAATTATTCACAAATGTTCAGTACTACCGGCAGCACTAAAAAGTTAGAAACAATAAATAAATGAATACAGTAAACCAAGAAAACCATACTCTGCACATTTATAACACTGGTGCTGGTGGGGGGTGGGGGGGAGCTGCAGCGAATCTGAAGCTTGAAGCTCACTAGATCTCCAAAGTGGATAATAAATTAGGCTAGGGAAATTAGTGCAAAGATGAGGGCAGAGCCCTGCCAGCTTGCATCAAACATTTGCCCTTTATCACCATCTCTAGTTGGCTGGCTCTGTTTTGGGAAAGAGCCTGGTGGAAACCCCTCCCCGCTCTGCCCTGCGCATGTTTTGCTCAATCAAACAAGGGAAACTAGAGACAAGGGTGACTCAGAAAACTAGGTCAAGCTTTCTGCACGTGCCCCAGTGCACCTGTTGCTGGGCTGGGTGGCTTTCCTTGCATGCCCCAACCATAAATAATTTTTAAAGAAGTACAGTGGTACCTCGGGTTACAGACGCTTCAGGTTACATACGCTTCAGGTTACAGACTCCGCTAACCCATAAATTGTACCTCAGGTTAAGAACATTGCTTCAGGATGAGAACAGAAATCGTGCTCCGGCGGCACGGCGGCAGCGGGAGGCCCCAGTAGCTAAAGTGGTGCTTCAGGTTAAGAACAGTTTCAGGTTAAGAACGGACCTCCGGAATGAATTAAGTACTTAACCCGAGGTACCACTGTATTTTTCTGGTTTCTCAGAGCCTGGAACTCTGCCACAAACAAGGCACTGGCAGTCATCCCTGCCTCCACAACCTGAGAGAAGCCTCTTTCTCTTTTCCTTCCCAGCCAGCTTTCTAAGCCCACTTCCAAATCCTGATTTTGCTCTCTGCAATTTTGTTTACAAGACCTTAACAGCCCGCCAGTCCCCCCCCCCCCCAGCTTTTAAGGCAAGTTCTGGTAAAACTCTGGAAAAATGGAACTCTGGAACCACTAGTGTGGTGTAGTGGTTAAGAGCGGTAGTCTCGTAATCTGGTGAACCGGGTTCGCGTCTCCGCTCCTCCACATGCAGCTGCTGGGTGACCTTGGGCCAGTCACACTTCTCTGAAGTCTCTCAGCCCCACTCACCTCACAGAGTGTTTGTTGTGGGGGAGGAAGGGAAAGGAGAATGTTAGCCGCTTTGAGACTCCTTAAAGGGAGTGAAAGGCGGGATATCAAATCCAAACTCTCCTTCTTCTTCTTCTTCTTCTTCTTCTTCTTCACTCCCTCCTGTATTTTTTTTAGAAACAAACAGGGGGCGTGGAAATAAGAAAAACTTGGGGGTTGGCACACAGCCCCTCCTAATTCCCCTCCCCCACCTTCACATCTCCACAGGCCAAACTTAAAGCAATAAAACCTAAATATATTCTATATGAACATCAGTAATATCAGATAAAACGCAACAATGAAAAATTTTGCTCTGAGCGGGAGTGAGAAGAGGCGGTAACAGCTTTTGTTAAATAAAGATGTTGTCTGTTCCAGTCTAAAAAAAAATTTGGGTAAAAAAAATCAATGTTTATTTTTTGCAAGAACCTTACGGAAACTGCTTTGGGAGGTCTGCCTGAAAAGCGCAAAACAAATAAATATTCAAAAACCTTAGCCTCCACCATCACATCCTCCTCAAATCAAAAGAGTCAAAGTACCCATTAGGTGCTACTGCCAGTCCTAAATTGTCCACAAAAATTTCCAGGCTATAGTTCAGGTAAGATAACCTGGGAGACAAGTCATTGGAGCAAGCATGCCTTTAATCTACACTTTCTCTTTTCTTTACTTTTCATAGTTTGCATAGCCTGTTCTATTGGGGTGTGATAACCAAGAGTCATAAGAGGAAGCCAACAAACATGTGTGAAGACTTTTCAGGGTTTGGCTCTAGTGGGATTAACAGATTTCATTCAGGTTCATTCACGGAGTCCTGGATTTAGGAATGAACTGGCAGCACAAGAAATCAGAGGGTACTACAATTAACTCTGACTAGCTGAAAAGCATATTATCATCAGTGCGGGATCTTGCGGTCCTTTGCCAGTAAGAGAAAAATATTTGGGCTGATTTGCCTCTATGGCTCCCCACTACTTAAGTCCCAAATGAGGGTTCTCAATCTGTACCCACTTTCTTTGACCTACTACAGCTGTGCTAATGCTACATAATGATGATGATGATGATGATGACAATAATTTTATTATTTATACCCCACCCATCTGACTGGGTTGCCCCAGCCACTCTGGGCAGCTTCCAACATATATAAAAACATAAAACATTATTACAGTGGTACCTCAGGTTACATACACTTTAGGTTACATACGCTTCAGGTTACAGACTCCGCTAACCCAAAAATAGTGCTTCAGGTTAAGAACTTTGCTTCAGGATGAGAACAGAAATCGTGCTTTGGCGGCAGCAGGAGGCCCCATTAGCTAAAGTGGTGCTTCAGGTTAAGAACAGTTTCAGGTTAAGAACGGACCTCCAGAACGAATTAAGTACTTAACCTGAGATACCACTGTATTATTATTATTATTACTATTATTATTATTATTATTATAATAAAAAAACTTCCCTAAACAGGGCTGCCTCCAGATGTCTTTTAAAGATGGTAGAGTTACTTATCTCCTTGGCTTGGGGGTTGGATAACTCCATAACCTCCAACATTTATCCAGTGAAAATAGGGGCATCCTAAGGAAAAGCGGGACATTCCAGGATGAAATCAGGAACCGGGGCAGCTTCTGTAAATCCGGGACTGTCCCTTGAAAATAGGGACACTTGGAAGGTCTGCCACTTTAGCTAATAATCATGACCAACTTGCGTTCATTAACTTCAATGGGTCGGCTCTGAGTAGGCCTTCACTGAATACAACCTCTCTGCTTTGTCAGAATGCAGAAGCTGCTGTGGACTAGATTCCTGGGCTTAAATTTACTTGTTGTTGTTGTTTAGTCGTTTAGTCGTGTCCGACTCTTCGTGACCCCATGGACCAGAGCACGCCAGGCACTCCTGTCTTCCACTGCCTCCCGCAGTTTGGTCAAACTCACGCTGGTAGCTTCGAGAACACTGTCCAACCATCTCGTCCTCTGTCGTCCCCTTCTCCTTGTGCCCTCCATCTTTCCCAGCATCAGGGTCCTTTCCCAGCATCAGGGAGTCTTCTCTTCTCATGAGGTGGCCAAAGTATTGGAGCCTCAGCTTCAGGATCTGTCCTTCCAGTGAGCACTCAGGGCTGATTTCCTTCAGAATGGATAGGTTTGATCTTCTTGCAGTCCATGGGACTCTCAAGAGTCTCCTCCAGCACCATAATTCAAAAGCATCTATTCTTCGGCGATCAGCCTTCTTTATGGTCCATATTTCCTTCCAAATTTACTTCCATATTTACTTCCAAATTTACTTGAGAATAGTACAAGTTCAGGAAAGGTTAA